GGTCACAGTGCTGGTTCGAGGTCATTATCAATACTTTTGAGTCAGGAACGCTACATAAGCGCTTCTTTTAATCTGAATGTGGAGTACAATATGAGTGTAGAGCGGAATTAGGTGAGTGTGTGAATTTGTTACCGATTTACTTACTTCTGCAGTTCTACAGGATGGTTTTTGGCTTCTGATACAACACACCTCCTATTTATCCGCTCCTGCACCACACCTCTCCAGTTTTGTACTCTCAAATGACTCTAGCAGCCCTTGCCTATAAACACAGGCTCTAAAGAAAAATTACTTTCAGTCATACTATGTGGCAAAAGTGCTGAGTTTATCATTTGCGTAATAGAGCATCCCACCATTACTTAGCTTGATGAGATACATTTTAGAGGTGTCTATTCAATCGACTCGTTTTCTGAATTCATAAAGGGTATTCTGCGTCAACCTTGAAAATTTCTGTCAAACTTTAAAGAGGTGTCCTTAGTACATAAAGCTGAGAGACTAGTGAGACGCCAGTGAAGACGTGTTTCCGTCCTTTTTGCTTAGGTTTTTTGAAGTACCAACCATATAAAACATAAAATTTATTCAGACAAATAAAAAAATCATTCACCGATACCTACAAAGAGTATTAAGGTGTGTACAAGGTGTTTAAGGGTATATATCACGACAGTTTTCTACAATCGGACATAAATATTACCAAATATAGATAATATTTATAGTTAGGTTTATACTAGTCATATAATTGTTACTCTGGGTTAAGTTATTAGCAGAGTAATTTACAGGTGACAATCAACTGCTGCGAGAGAGGGCTGCTGCTGCTAAGGGTGCGGGATGAGATGAGAATGGCGACAGCAGCTTACCAGACTCTGTACGAGAGCAGCGTGGCCTTCGGCATTCGTAAAGCTCTGCAGGCTGAGCAGGGCAAGTGCGATATGGAGGAGACAATCGTAGAGTTGAAGGATGTCAAGGTAAGATCAAGGCCACACTACAAAAAACAGGCCGTAATGCTCGTCAAGTATGACGTCACTATAGAAGACGGCAATGACGTATTGTTTGCCATTTATGATCAGCTGCTTGTTTTCATATATTTTTTCTTCACATTACGTCATTGCCGTCTTCTATCGTGACGTCATACTTGACGAGCATTACGGCCTGGTAAGATGCAGTTTGCGAAGATGTCACGGATCCGATTTTTATGAAATTTGGTACAAATGTGTAAACCTACATTTATTCGAACGAGTTTGCGAACCAGTATGATTGGACTATGGGAACCCCTATGGGGTTTATGGGGGGACTTTAGATTAATTTGAGGTGACATCGCTGAGTTATAGGCCAAAGCACTGTATGTCATGTGATGAATCATCACCTGTTAAGGTAAGATATGGTTACGTGAGAAGACGATGCATAGCAATAGCTCCTGAGGAATACGAATTTATATTGGAGACACTGCAAAAGGTTAAAGGTTTTATACAGTCATAGTGGAGTTGAAATATTCCAAGGTGAGCTTTGTTCTTACACCCATCTAGGTGGACGAATTAAAGGTTGAAAAAGGCTGTCAAGTGCTTAAAATAATAAAACATGGAAATTAGCGTTCAATTATCATCGAAATAATCCCACCTTTATATGTATATATATATGTTCTAGGCGGAGCTTGAACGACAAGTGGCCGAACTTAGGGCGAAGGCCGAGCAGATAGAGAGACGAGCAAGCGAGCTGAGACAGGCTGAGGAGAGAAAACATTCTGAGGAAGTTGATTTTCTCAAGAAGACGAACCAACAGTTGAAGTCCCAACTGGAGGGGATCATTGCGCCGAAAAAGTAGTCAAATTGGAAGATTCCCTTGAACTCGTACGATCAGCCTTTCATCATTGCCATTTGTTTAATTGTGTAGTTTAAAATTTTGCATTTCCTTACAATGAAGCTTCAACGATTAGAAAAGACTACACAAAGGTTGATCATTTACTTTACTAATATTAATTTTGTCTGTCATTCATAAATAAATTATCAACAGATATTGCAAGTAGCATTCTCTCTTACATAAGAACCAGCTGTTGTACCCGTGCTACGCAACTAGAATAAAAGGCGGAAAGTAACACATTTCCGTCTATACCTCTTTTGCCTGGACTATAACACAACGTTAATTTAAGTTTATCTTCCAGGTAACGAATTTTATTCTCTTTATTTATAGCTTGTTTTGCTAAAATTAAAGTTATCACCTCAAATACACCGAACGTGCTGATAAATTACTGTTTGTCCTCTTCTATTGCCACTAAATATTAAAGCCTTCGTCGTTAAGTTAAATCGTAAATTGAAAAAGAAAAATGTGTGACATCAAACGTTAACTGCATCAAACGCATCAACACAAAGAAAAAATAAATATCTTACAATGATGTAAAATCTACTTGTTATAAAATAAATAAAATCATTTAATGAGTTTCAGTGTATTCTTGTAAACTAAGCCATTTTCAGTATTTTCAAGTATTTCAGCCATTCAAGTATTTTCAATCTGAAACCCCACGACAGGTAGTTAGTGAAACTCCAGCATTTGGGGATAAATAGTTCTAATTTTTCATAAAGGATTTGATTTAAAGATGGTGGTTTTTCCTTTCATTACGTTATTTTGTGATTTCCTGTAGCAAACGTGTCACATGAAGCTATTTTATTGCTTCACTTATACCATCTTATACCCACCATTGCCCATAAAATATTCCACTTTCATTTTGATTATTGTGTGTATACATATTCTTGTTTCAGTTTCCATATGATATCTTGTTCTCAGGCAGCTCACAATGATGTACTGTACGATGGACCCACGGTCAAGTCTCCAGTGCCTGGACACTTCATTTCCTCGCCTTCCTCAGTTTGTGGTCACGTTGTGTCGTAGTATATTCAAGGATCTTTGTCAATACATATAATATTTCTTCGATGATACACATAGCTATTTTACACTTATGATTAAACAATAAACTAAATTGGGGTAAAAGTTGACAAATAATACACGATTTAGGTATTGTTTTTTATAGTGATCAAGAATTGAGGTCTTAAATGAAATTTTGTTTGTTGCTTTAGAAGTTAGGCCTTTTCTAAATTTAGAACACAAAGCAAGAGATGCAGTGTATCAGTTTCGAGAGTGACAAAATTTGAAAGTAAGAGATTATTGCTAAATTAAATATATTTAGTATATATATATATTTACTATTAGTCCTAAAATGGCGATTTTTTGTTAGATTGAGGCACTGCCTGATAAATACTGGTTTTGTTTTTATATTTTATAGATGTGTATGTTAAATGTTTTTTCTTTCAACATTTGTTTTGCCCGGGAGTTGAATCCATGAGACACTAACCATTAGACTAGAAACACATCATATGCCAACCAAATATATTGATATGTTGATTTTTTTAAAGGATTTGTTAGATTGTTTTATACATTTTTTATCATATAGATATGTATTTTATTTAGATATGAGTTCCCACCTTACGATGCACGATTTACCCTTACTCCTAGAGTCCTACAATTTGGAGATGCAAACCAACTTTCAACTCTAGAGGTAAAACACCATTGTAGGCCTAAAACATTATAAGAAGCGAAACCGTATGGGCCTACAGGGATCACGAGTCAGTTTAAGTTATAGTTCACAGAGATTAAAGAACAGTAGGAGCGCCACCGCGGGTTGGCAAACATTGCTGGCTCGTGAGGGTTACTTAGGTGTTGTTATCGATACCACCGATACTTGGACAGTGGTACTGGTGTCGAAAATCGATTGTAAAAAGTCGATGCCCATACCGATACCCTGGAGAAAGTATGTGAGAATCGTGCCATAGAAAAATTATTGCTTTTGCCGCGATCGTTGCATGGCGACGACGACGTTTCCATGCCTGCGGGAGACGATGGTGTTGTCTACACCGTGTGCTCGGTGTGCTCCCGCTATCTCCGCGTTCCGCCACCTCCGAACCCAAATCTGTCCTGCCACCTCCGAATTCTTGAGTGACCCTTATAATACTGTCACTGCCTGCGTTGGTAGCTGTCATTGCATCCACGGCTGCGAAGCCCCGTGGATGGGAGATTTAACGAAAATTCAACCCATGGGTTTGGTTAGGTTAGGTTGGGTTATGTTAGGCTAGGTAAGGTTAGGTTAGGTTAGGTTAGGCTAGGTTAGGTTAGGACGGAAAGTCTTAACGCAGGTATTAACCGAGGATTATAGGGGTCACTCTGAAATTCTGAGGTGGCGGGGCACGGAGGTGGCGGGACGCGGAGATAACGGGAGGTAACCGTCTACACGGACGAGGTATATTATCATAATTTGCCGCCATTGTGGGAGATGTTCATGATTTCACCACGATCGAGGAAGATGTTACCACCGAAAATAATCAGAATTATTCAGTGATCGTGGGATACAATGATGATGTCTTCAAGGCCACAGCATATGACGTAGTAAACATTTAAGAGCGTTTAGATGCCCCTTTTGCTTGGAACCCACCCAATTCCAAAAAACTTGCAAACCACGTGTTAATAATATCAGCTTTGACTATCCAATAGTCAATGATATTAGTATGAGGTTCAAGTTAGTGACGTTATTTGTTTATGTTTAAGAACCATGCCGATTCTCGTCTAATATCTGTGATTGACAGTTATAATAGTTCTACATGTTTCATGACGCACTACATTTAAGTCAACAGCTTATGCCCATACTTATTATGTCAAATACTGCCTCCAAAAGGATTACATTGAAACTTTGAGACCCCTTGAGGCGGATTCCTGGGAGAATTTTGTAACGCTATAAAGATGATAGCACTTACCTATGGTCTTTATCACCATGCAAAATTTGAAATGATTGCTTCAGCCGTCTAGGAGCAATAATTTATGTATGTCGAAATTCACAAGAGTTGACGTATAAAAGCTTATCTCACTCCATTCAATTATTAGTAAGTGCCCCTTTAGAAAATAATAACAGTCTATTAAGAATATGGGTCGAACACAACACAACAAAACAAAACACGTATTATGTTTATGCATTCATGTAATTGAAGAACATGGTCTACGAAAAGCGCAGTAACATGTGCTATTCATTGCCGTCGTCATTTTCTTCTGTCTCCCCTTGAAGCTGGTTGATGATCATCATATCCAAGATTACCTTTAATCTCGTTTTTGCAATGACGGCCGTGCCAGTGTTAGAGGTAAAAATCCACAAAGCCCATCGACCAATGGGGCTGGAATTGACTGCATCCTGAAGGATAGGTAATACAGAACACTGGACCAATTCACTTTGTATAATTCTATTCGCATTTTTAACCGTGATACTGTCAGCAACACTATTTGATAAATCTTGAGCTATCAACTTGCCTGTTTTCTTTGCACCTTTAACTACGTTCCCACCTGTTTTCACAAGTCTAGCCCCTGTCCCACTGCCTTTTTTCTTCACACCTTCTGCGGGTTTAGACTGTTTTGAGAGAGCTACGTCACATGAACTTAGCATACATCCAATATCATTCGCACTGCAAGCAGACTTTTCCGGTCCTTGTTTAAGTTGTTTTCTCTGTTCTCTTATTTCGGCTAACAATAGGGCATTCTTGATTGCTCCAGCTGAGCGTGCAAGACCTGTTAATCCATATTTCAAGATGCCAACGACTGTTTTCATGAGGCCAGTATTTTGTTTGCCACCACCGGAATCGGAATTCGGTGGAGCTCCGACAGAGCAATGGATCACCAACATTAGCAGAGCCACTAGAACCTGAAACATACAGAATGAGTCAAAAGTAAATGACCGATTATGGGTGATTTTGAAACTAACCAACATAAACAACCAAACGTTGAAAATTCCAGTGGTCACGTTTAATCTGTTCTAATTTACGTTCTATTTTATTTGTTCGTCGCTGCTAGGTCGTATATTCCGTGCGCCTGTATCGGCGCATCTGAGAATATTCTTGTGAGCATAAAGTTCCCAGTTATAGTCTACGTCATGTTAAAACCATACCGTACTTTATCTACCAGTGCACCGGTGTGCTGAATTAGTTGTGCAATACTTGATTTGCAGGACGAGTAGATTAGAGAGAGTGAGATTCGCCCAAGATATAGAATAACTAGGAGGTGATCGTAGAAGTGTTGTAAGTTAATAACTTGTTTTTAACCAATAAAGCATATTTTAAAACTAAAGTAAGTTGGCCATTGTAAACAAAACACGCGGTCTACCACTGAGTTTAAACGATGCATTCTAGGCCTATAGGCTACATACCATAATATTGAACAATTTGAAATAACTTTGATGATAGTATCGTGTCGTCAACATATTGGCAACGATTTGAGGTAACTTATATAATTGCCCAAGTTCAAGTAAGTAAGCCTAAAGTAGTTTTTTTTTGCGTTTTCGTTTTACAAGAAAATACCTAGAGTTCCATCTTGAGGAAAATTTAAGAATGCATTCTCAAAAACTGCCTAAGATTTGTAGAAAACTAAGACGAGCATAAACGCCCAATACGTACAAACAACTTGTTTTGACAATGTTTTGAGATAATTAAATGAAAAACACTTGCTTGAAACAATGACTTTCATATGCTAAATGTACAAAATTAATGAAAACAAATCGTACAAGGTATCTTATGGTGAAAACTATTCTTAAAATTCTCCCAAAGCAGACACGTCTATAAAAATAACATCTGCTGATCATGCAGGCTTATTTTTGCCTGAATTGCCAAAACTGGCCAAGATTGAGAAAATGTAGAATGGTTGGGTTCAACCAGAACTGGTAGTCCACCGAATGACATTACCAATCAAACATAGAAAAAATGCCGATACAAAGGATATGTATGTAATGTCCACATCTTTACTTTTTAATTGTATTGTTTTATTAAAAAACCATGAAACGTGATAGCTTCGCTCAAACGGCTTTCACTGCTATAAAAGCAATCCTAGTTTTACATAGATTGAAAAGAACGATCAGATTTGTTTACCCCAACACTGAATTGTTATCAATATGACGCAGCAGTTATGACAACTTGTTAAAATGGGTCTGCTTTCATATTCGCTGAAATTATAGAATTGTTGGGCTAAAAATTACTAAACTACACTACTATTAATAAAATAACTAATTCGCTTGCAACACTTGTACAGTATTGCTCTAATTTAGTTGCTGCAACTAATTCATCACAGACATAGTTAAGACACAGATGGGTACCACTCAGCGGTTGGAACTAAGTATATAGTCTGGCTGAGATGTTTTAACGGTTATTGTGAATTTAAAACAATGCTTTTGAACACAATAATCTGTAGGTATATATACGTCTAAATTTCTAAATTCTATTCATCTAAATTTTTTTTTGAGACTGAGCAAAATTGGAAGAACTTTTGGAAAATAGAAGCTAAATTGGAAAATAACAGACACATGCTTACCCTTAAATAAGACGAACTCATAGAGACTCATTGAACTAGTTATTGTATTTTAACATACCTTAAATATCCTTATATATAACTAGCTGTACCCACGGGCTTTGCCCCGTTTAACTTCACAAGTGAGCATGTTCGCATGGCTCAATCAAGTCCTGGTTGAAGTTCGTTCGCTACGCTCACTCACCTTTAGGTTAGAGCTCGTTCACTCCACTCACTTGCCTTCAGGTAAGCTCGTTCGCTACGCTAACTCGCCTCCAGGTTGAAGTTCGTTCGCTACGCTCACTCACCTTTTGGTTGCAAATTGGCTGTAGTCATAAATTAAAAAAAAAATAATAGTGCTGCACCCTGTTGGTAATCCTTGTCACTTTAATGCTATTGAACATCATAGAACAGAACCAACTTGTTTAATTGAAACAGCTGTTAAGAAATCCCTTTTAAATATGAAAAATCATAAGGTTAACATGGGAAACTCCAGAGCCAGTGGGGCGGAGCCCGAAAGCCCGATCAGAATAAAAACTACTTAGTTTTCCTATTTAATGCCCAAAGAATCGGTGTACCGAATTTCAGCCTCCTAGGTAAATGGGAAGTGGGAGAATTAGTGATGAGTGAGTGAGTGAGTGAGTGAGTGAGTGAGTCAGTCAGTGAGGGCTTTGCCTTTTATATATTTAGATACGTGAAGGCGAAACACTACTCCTCCGTTAATAATGGACAGATTTTTACAAACGACGTGTCAAAATAAAGTATTTTATGTGTAGATGCCCCCTTTCACCAATTACTGTAATAAAAATCCTCGGGCTTTGCCCCACAGGCCATCAAAGTTGGAGTTTCTCCCATAAGATTAACATGGGGGAATCTAAATATTTAATTGGAAACTTTGTCCCCACTAATTTGAGAGAACGGCTGGGCGTAGAAACTTGGTAGAGGTATCAAAAGAAAGGTTATGGTCTGTAGATGAGTTATCAAAAGAAAAACTAAGCAAAATCCCTTAGGACTCTGCCCCAGAAGCCTTTAAAGATCCTTCCACAGAGTTGTTTACATTTTGGCCATGTGAATAATACTTTTTAATGAAACAGCTGTTCATTTTTAAATTGTATTTTAAACAACACACATTTATTGGGAGTTACTGAATTCTACCAAATAAGTATTTGCAATGTTATTTTCTGATTTAAAATTGATTTTCTCCTTTATCATGTCAGGTTTTGCAATATAACGTTCCATTACGAAATCAGTGAAAAATCCTTTAATCATAGCAATTCTTAAATTATTTTTTATTGAACTAGCTTATATCTATTGCACAGATTGGTGTCTGCCTTTTTCACCACTTTTGCCTACATTTTATCATATTATTCTACAAATATCAAATCAAATATTTATGTAGAAATATCTGCTCTTATCGTGTCTAATAAAATCCAAACCTTGCCTTAAATGGTACCTATCTTGACAAATTATTTGCACTGTACCGATGGTAGTTAGTTTTTATTTGAAATAACAAAACAAAATCAATATTATTTAATCATTGGCTAGAAAGATTAAGAAAGAGTGACCAGCAGTTTAGAAGTTTTAGTTTTGTAGGGTTGGTAGTGGTTAGTGATAACCAGGTTCAACTTTGTCAGTTTTAAGTTCACTGGAAATATGGTCATCTAAGTTGTGGTTGCTGTAGAAAATTGTAAGTAGTTTTAATATTGTTTAGTAATAAGATTTTAGCTGATTTATTGTATATAACTTTTGTAGAAATCATTTTTGGTAAAAGAGGTAAAGTAAGGAAAGGTTTTCAAATCAATTTTTAATGCATTTTACAAGAAAAGATAACAATAAGTAAAGTTTATACAGACCTGTTGAGTTTTGTTCTAGGAGAAGCACATTTTCACAAGAAGTTGTAAAGATCTTAAATCTACTTTTAATTATTAGAATTTATAGAGAATAGTTTTTATTGGGTTTGTGTGATGTTTTCAGACAGAAATCAACCACTTCTTGGTACTACCACTTCTTGTTCACCTTCTTATGATTGGTCCAGTAGCTTTTTGCACCACTTCTAGTTTGCATGGTATCTGCTAGTGCCTGTTCTGACCATTAAACCAGTGTCTCTGTTTAAAGTAAGATCTTTCCACTATTTTATTATTTAGTATAATTTTTGGAAGTAACAACTGCATATTTAATTTCATTTGGAAAGTGTATTTTGAGAAATTTGACATCCATAAAATAAATGTATCTTTGGCCTACTTTGTCTTTTAATTTATCTCACTTCTACTACCAGCTTAAATTAGATTCATCCTAAATTAAAGTATACTACCTAATTGGCTACAAGGTAGGGGTATACAAGTGCGCCACTCTGCTAATGAATCATTTAAAATTAGAAGCTGGTAAAAGTGAGAAATACATAGGCCTACATGATTATTGAGGATTATGCCTATGTTAGAAGAATTACAGCAAACAAGTAGAGGCTGAAAATTTTCAACATGTCAAAATACAATTTAAATTATCTAAACAAAGAAGAACTTCTGTACGAGATAAGAATAAGAGGGGAAGAAACGAGTGATAGTGATGTAGACTCTTTAAGAAAAACTTTAAGATCTTGTATTAACCAGAATACCGATTTAACAAATTTAAAAGGTTCATACACTTTATCTGGGGAAATAACTATAATTGGGGAAAAGTGTGAACAAATTGATTCTCTAATTGAACAGTGTAGGGAAAATGTGACTAAACTCAAAATAGCTAAAATCAAGGCTAAACTAGTGCATGTACAAAACCGGACTACTAATCTATTACAATGTAAGCTGGATCCAGATAAGAAAGTTAGTTTAGACAAATTAAATCAGCAAATCTTAAATAGTTTTGAGCAATTTAAAACAATGCATACCTTCTCAGACCAGGAGATGGGGGATTTTGAAGAGGAGCTGAATAACTCTATAGTTGAGCATGAAATAATTGGGGACAAATTAAACCAGTCTAAATCTGTAGTTCCGCCAACTGAAAACTTCACTTCATCAACACCTCAAAAAGTAGAAATGGATTGTTTTCAACAAAATGTGCCGGGTCAAGTCATAAATAATCAACCAAACTCATGTACAGTTGTAAATAGTAGCCTAAGTCCTAGTAGCCTTTTTACAAAGTTGTCAAACCCATTGGAAATTTATTTAAAAAATTTTCCTGTGTGTAATGGTTTAGAAACAAACACATTGTTGCAGTTTTTGAGAAACCTAGTTACTGTCCGTAATGAAACTTCTTTATCTGAGCAAGATTTGTATGAGATTCTACCAATTTATTCTACAGCACCATTAGTGAATAAAATATTAGAATTCAAAAGGAAATCAAAATCAATTGATTTGTTGCATGCTAATATAATCACTACATTTTTGCCAATCACCTTAAGGGAAAAGCTGAAACAAGATTTAATTTTTCGACCTCAAAAACACCTTGAACCTTTGTCTATATATGTGCATGAAATAAAAATAAACCACCAGGTATTAAAGTGTGATTTAACTGAGAGTCAACTTGTTAGTTTTATTAAGAATGGAATACATCCTGATTTGCGCAACAAACTAATATTTGAGAAGAACCCTGAAACATTTTTAGACTTAGATCATCTTTGTATAAGTTTAAATAATGTAACATACAATGATTACCTCAGAAATCAAGGTTTTCCAGTTAGTAATAGTAGTGTTAGCAAGCCTTATCTATCAACTGATGATAAGCCTAGGATGGATAAAGCTAACCCAGGAGTTCAACGACCTAAAAGTCACTACTCAAATCGTAACAATGAGAGGCCTGTTTGTTTCAAATGTCAAAGAGTAGGTCATATTGCTCGTAATTGTTACAGACCAGATCCAAAAAACTAGTTAAGCCAGGAAAAACACGTAGCCTAGACTACAAATCTGTTTTTCCGGACGGCAAGAAAGAATTCGGAAATAATAAACCTGTATATAGTTCTCATAGTCCCAATTTTAAATCTGAACTGAGAAGAGTTGTTAAGGATTTTAATAAAATAAATTCACCTGGATTAAAGAAAGTAAAAGCTAAAACTGTAACACATTTGCCCTGTATTTCTGTGGATTTAGGAAACAAATTAAATGCGGGAGCTTTGTTAGACACTGGAGCTAGTCAAAACTTTATAAGCTTGGATTTGTACAATAGATTATTGGGAAATAAATTAATTATGAGTGAAAATACTTGGCAGGGAACCATAGTTGCTGCAAACAATGAACCTTTGAACATAAATAAGCAATGTGAAACTTTGATTAAGATAAAATCATTTACCTGGAAACAAACATTTTTAGTGGTTGAGTTAAAATATTTTGACATGATTTTAGGATACCCTTTTATGTGTGCAAGCAAGTTAAACCTAAATATGGATCGACAAATGGGTTATTTTACATTTAAACCTGAAGATGAAATTAAGTTAATTCCAAGTACAAACCTGAGTGAATTAAGCTTAAGTAGTATTAAAGTAGGAGATGTTGAAATGTGTGAAGAAGCTGAGAAGTTAATTAAGAATTTTCCTACTGTTTTTACGGATAAGATAGGATCAGCACTTGATTTGGAAATTGAGCTTAAAGTGACGGATGATAAACCTGTTAGCATCCGCCCTTATTTTTTAAGTCCACCCAAAGTAGAGAAGATGAAAGCTATAATTGATGACTGGATAAAACAAGATGTCGCGGAAGTTTCCACTAGTCCATATAGTGCCCCTGCATTTTTGACTCAAGATGACAGACTTGTAATTAACTACTCTGAACTCAATAAGAAGTTAATCAATGTAGATTACCCGCTAGGAGATATGCAGAATATGTATCAGCATCTAAAAGGAGCTAGGTATTTTACAGTCATAGATTTAAACAAAGCATTTTTACAATGTCCCATAGCTTTAGAATCCAGAGATTTAACATCTTTTAGTACAATTTTTGGTAAATTCCGTATGAAGAGAATTCCATTTGGATTGAAAATAGGCAGTAGCGTACTATCACATTATTTGGACAAAATATTTAATGACATCAAATTTCAGTATATGATTAACTTTTGTGACGATATAGTTGTATATAGCCCTGATAAGAGAAACCATATTGAGCACGTTACAGAAGTGATTAAGAGATTAGCAAAACACGGACTTACGGTAAATCCACAAAAAGTCAAATTCTTTTGTAAGGAAATAAGTTTTTTAGGACATATTATTAAACAAGATAGCATCACAATAGATCCCGAGCGAACTAACTCATTAATGAAATTTCCTGCTCCAAAAACTGTGAGGCAAGTGCGACAGTTTATAGGAATGTGTGGTTATTGGTCTAGATATATTCCTAAATATGCTGAAATATGTTTACCTCTGTTTGGGCTGAAGAAGAAAGGTGTAAAATTTAAATGGAACGAGGAGTGTCAAAATGCATTTGAAACCTTAAAGAGTAAGATAGCAAATCCGCCTATACTACAAATGGCCGATTTTTCTAAAGAATTCGAGTTGCATACCGACGCAAGCGACCTTGCAGCTGCTGGTGTTTTATTGCAAAGAAATGAGGAGGGGAATTTAATGCCTATTGCTTACTATTCGAAGAAATTCACACCTACTGAGATGCGTTATAGCACTTACGAAAAGGAAGCTTATAGTGTAATATTGTGTGTAGAGAAATGGCATCAATTCTTGGAAGTAAGAAGTTTTAAATTAGTTACTGATTGTCAAGGTCTTAGTTTCATGCTCAAATCTCGAAAAAGCCGTGGAAGATTGTCTAGATGGTTTGAAAGGTTGTTTAGTCTTCCATTCACAGTTGAACATGTAAAAGGTTCGGAGAATATAATAGCTGATGCGTTATCACGTATGTTTAGTGGAGAGAAAGAGAGTGAGACGGAAAGTCACGAAACTAATCTGTTAAGCAATATCAACAATGAAGTCTATTTTTGTAATGTGTTAAATGAAATACCATTGGATCTTAAGGACATTAAAGTACATCAAGAGAGCGATGAAGAGTGTAAGAAAATCATTGAAAGCATCAAGAATAAGACTAATAATGAAAATTATACCCTGAAAAATGAAGTTTTATTGTTTAAAAAGAAGATTTATTTGCCCAAGAAACTGTTTAGTGTAATATTCGCATTCTATCACAACTCATTAATTGGTGGTCATATGGGAATTTTTAGGACTCAAAGTAAAGTAAATGAAAGTTTTCACCATCCTGAATTAAATGAAATTGGTAAAAGGTAAAGTCCGTGAATGTAAGATCTGTCTGATGTCTAAGTCGGAACAACGTAAGTTTGAAGGTCGACTGATATCTGTTCCTGTAACTCAAGCTCTAAACACAGTGTTTATTGACCTAGCTGGACCATTTCCCCGATCAAATAAACTCAATCAGTACATTTTAATTGTGGTCGATGCATTTACCCGTTTTGTATGGTTGTACCCTCTGAAGGATTGCAAGACAAAATTCATCATAGAAAAATTGAAGATAATTTTTGATAGTTTCTCAGTACCCCGAATACTTGTGTCTGATAATGCCAGTTATTTTACATCCAAGGAATTTAAGAAATTCATGTTCAATAACTATGTGGAACACAGAAAGCTAGCTGCATATAGAGCAAACGGAAATTTGTCGGAACGATATTTGAGGGAGACTAATAATGCTTTACGGAGTTTTTATGGTAATCAACATGATAAATGGGATTCAGATCTGGGACTGATTGCCACAAGTTTGAATACTGCTGTAAATAGTTCGACTAAATCGACTGCTTTTGGTTTAATGTTTGCCCATCCTTGTAACAATGCACTGACAAACTTATGGAATGTTAAAGACATTATTTCGGAGAAGTTAACTCCTGATCAAAGGAGGGAAAATTTGGAGAAAGCCATAAATAACGTCAGAAGAAGCATTGCCAGAAATCAAAGAAGGGAGAGATATAGCTATCCTCGGAGAAACCATCCATTTAAGTTGAATATGGAAGTGTACATCAAGACACATTATTTAAGTAATGCAGCGAATAAATTCAGCAAGAAGTTAGCACCTAGATACGTTGGACCTTACGTAATACGCTATTTTCTGAGTGATTCAACAGTACTAGTACAAAATCCTAGCAAGTTAGAAGACGTGAAGAAAATTCATATAATTGATTTAAAGAAGAGTTAAGTAGTGAAGAGGACCGAAAGTAACCAATGTATTGATGGAAGAGGAAATGTGAAAAATGGAATTAAATGGAAGATTACGGAAGACTGAAGCTAAATTGGTCTTTATGAAATGTCTGTAAAGTAGAAGTTAGATTTGTTTAGTTGAAATATTAATTAGTTAAGGGATTTTAGCAAGCTAAGAGGGAATTTGAAATTTTGTAAATTAGTACTGTGGGAGTTGTTTTAGGTTCTTAAGAATTTTTCAAAGTTTTAAAGTGTTTTTAGTAAGAGAGTGTATATATGTGTATGTATTGGTGAATGTGTGAGTATTTGTGGCAGCAAAAGGTAGTATGAATCTGTATGAATCTAAAATGGAGTCTGAACGTAGTGTATGAGTGGGATTTTTACTAAAGGACGCACAATAACATTTTGATTAAATTTGCACTTGTAAACAGGGAAAATAACACAGAACACAAAACACTTCACACGAAACACACGAGGGAACATAAAAACAGGGAATATAACACACTGGGATAAATAAATTAAGGGAAAACTAAAGAAAAACACAGCACACGCAAACGACATAACTAAACTAAACTGGAGAAGTGAAAGTTATTTGTCTTGTCTGGAGTTGATGTTGGGAGGGGTCAGTGAACTGTGAGCGGATGTGAAGAGTTCAAAAGAGATTTAAATAGGCTTGTTTAAGATCGCTTAAGTAATTGGGGGTTTTAAAGAAAGGTTTTATTTTAAGGTATAATTTTTGTAAATAGGATGGATAATATTTGAATTGTCATAGGAAAATGAAATGGTTCAAAATGAAAAATTGTGTAAATAGAAGTTGTTGTTTTGAGTAGAAGGTTCTGTAAGGTGCTGAAAACGTGTGGAGGCTATTTGAACTAGGAGTTAGTGTTTGTAGAATTTGTTGATAGGTAGCGCTAGTTGAAATGTCAAACGGAGTTAGAGTTTTATGATTTGTTTTAAAAGGTTTGTTTATTTTCTTTTGTAGAGTTGTTGTTTTAAAAGGAAATGTAAATATTAATTTTGAGAAAGAGTGTATAATTTTGTTTACGTAATTTCAAGTTAAGGAGGGGAAATTCTGTACCGATGGTAGTTAGTTTTTATTTGAAATAACAAAACAAAATCAATATTATTTAATCATTGGCTAGAAAGATTAAGAAAGAGTGACCAGCAGTTTAGAAGTTTTAGTTTTGTAGGGTTGGTAGTGGTTAGTGATAACCAGGTTCAACTTTGTCAGTTTTAAGTTCACTGGAAATATGGTCATCTAAGTTGTGGTTGCTGTAGAAAATTGTAAGTAGTTTTAATATTGTTTAGTAATAAGATTTTAGCTGATTTATTGTATATAACTTTTGTAGAAATCATTTTTGGTAAAAGAGGTAAAGTAAGGAAAGGTTTTCAAATCAATTTTTAATGCATTTTACAAGAAAAGATAACAATAAGTAAAGTTTATACAGACCTGTTGAGTTTTGTTCTAGGAGAAGCACATTTTCACAAGAAGTTGTAAAGATCTTAAATCTACTTTTAATTATTAGAATTTATAGAGAATAGTTTTTATTGGGTTTGTGTGATGTTTTCAGACAGAAATCAACCACTTCTTGGTACTACCACTTCTTGTTCACCTTCTTATGATTGGTCCAGTAGCTTTTTGCACCACTTCTAGTTTGCATGGTATCTGCTAGTGCCTGTTCTGACCATTAAACCAGTGTCTCTGTTTAAAGTAAGATCTTTCCACTATTTTATTATTTAGTATAATTTTTGGAAGTAACAACTGCATATTTAATTTCATTTGGAAAGTGTATTTTGAGAAATTTGACATCCATAAAATAAATGTATCTTTGGCCTACTTTGTCTTTTAATTTATCTCACTTCTACTACCAGCTTAAATTAGATTCATCCTAAATTAAAGTATACTACCTAATTGGCTACAAGGTAGGGGTATAGCACCTGCCTATATTACGGACTTTGGCGCACTGGTTTGGTAACATTATTGAAAATGACACGACATTTTGGCTGTAAAATATGGTACAAAGAGAAAATACTATTTAAGCAGCTACTGTCATGACAGAAAGGAGAAAGGTTATACAGTATTCCTTTTGAAATAGATCACATAATCCTTTATAAGATACGTTGAATAACAATATGTAAACGTCAATATATACGTAACAGTCAATTTACAGTATTTTTGATTTTTGGAAATTGTCCCATTGCTATGTCATTTGCATTATTTGTTGCCAATGAAGCCGTCAGGCCATATGAACTAGGTTCATACCTAACAGTTCAAGAATAAAAGCCAACTTAACTTCAAGTATTCCACTACACCTAACATTCCGTAGAGAGATTATATTGAAAAATGTATGTAAGTTAATTGATAAGGCTGAGACAACTGACATCCCCCATGTCAAGGAATTCCAGCTTTAACAGTAACCCCAAAATCAATTTCTCAAAACTATGCTAGAGGGTTCATTCATTGGCACAAAAGTACGATATGAACTGACGTGACGTGACGAAGGAAAAATCAAACTTACACTGTAACGGATATACCTCCCTTTGAAGTTAGAATATGTCATCCCAAAACATATTTCCTTTTGAAATAAAATCATATTACACTGATGAAATCATGGAAGTGTTTAACTACAAAAGATCCACCAATACGATTTTAATACTATTCAAAGGTTCTTCCAAAGGAAGAGATACCATATAACATACTAATAATAAACTCCGATGAAGTAAGCCTACGTATGGGGAATATTTTATTCATTGAATGATCAACCAAATTTGGCAACTAACGCAATTCAAATCATTATTGTTTTTACGCTTATTACTCTTGAAGCAATGCTAAATGCTCAAAATATGTATGTTTCACCCAATTTATCGCAGTTAGATGAATTAACGTAAGTCTTTAAAGTAACCGTCGATTTCGAAGGGATTCACCTAGTTATTTTTAATTATTGTTCTATGTCGAATTTGTATCTTTGACTTTTGATATTGATAAAAGTAGACATCCCATGCATATGCTACAGCTGTAGCCAGTGTTGGGCGTAGTTGGATTGAGCCACTATCAGAGTGCGCTGATGTAAATTACTGAGTTCTGGCAATACGATAACTAACAGAACTGACAGACAGTTCAACTGTCAAACTGATAGAACGACAGTTTAACTAACAGAACTGACTGACAGTTCTACTGTCAAACTGATAGAACGACAGTTTAACTAACAGAACTGACTGACAGTTCAACTAAGTCAAACTGACAGAACGACAGTTTAAGTAACAGAACTGACTGACAGTTCAACTGTCAAACTGATAGAACGACAGTTTAACTAACAGAACTGACTGACAGTTCAACTGTCAAACTGACAGAACGACAGTTTAAACTAACAAAACTGACTGACAGTTCAACTAAGTCAAACTGACAGAACGACAGTTTAAGTAACAGAACTGACTGACAGTTCAACTAAGTCAAACTGACAGAACGACAGTTTAAACTAACAAAACTGACTGACAGTTCAACTAAGTCAAACTGACAGAACGACAGTTTAAGTAACAGAACTGACTGACAGTTCAACTAAGTCAAACTGACAGAACGACAGTTTAAGTAACAGAACTGACTGACAGTTCAACTAAGTCAAACTGACAGAACGACAGTTTAAACTAACAAAACTGACTGACAGTTCAACTAAGTCAAACTGACAGAACGACAGTTTAAGTAACAGAACTGACTGACAGTTCAACTAAGTCAAACTGACAGAACGACAGTTTAACTAACAAAACTGACTGACAGTTCAACTAAGTCAAACTGACAGAACGACAGTTTAAGTAACAGAACTGACTGACAGTTCAACTAAGTCAAACTGACAGAACGGCAGTTTAACTAACAGAACTGACTGACAGTTTAACTAACAAAACTGACTGACAGTTCAACTAAGTCAAACTGACAGAACGACAGTTTAACTAACAAAACTGTCTGACAGTTCAACTAAGTCAAACTGACAGAACGACAGTTTAACTAACAAAACTGTCTGACAGTTAAACTAAGTCAAACTGACAGAACGACAGTTTAAGTAACAAAACTGACTGACAGTTCAACTAAGTCAAACTGACAGAACGACAGTTTAAGTAACAGAACTGACTGACAGTTCAACTAAGTCAAACTGACAGAACGACAGTGTAACTAACAAAACTGACTGACAGATCAACTAAGTCAAACTGACAGAACGACAGTTTAAGTAACAGAACTGACTGACAGTTCAACTAAGTCAAACTGACAGAACGACAGTTTAAACTAACAAAACTGACTGACAGTTCAACTAAGTCAAACTGACAGAACGACAGTTTAAGTAACAGAACTGACTGACAGTTCAACTAAGTCAAACTGACAGAACGACAGTTTAACTAACAAAACTGACTGACAGATCAACTAAGTCAAACTGACAGAACGACAGTTTAACTAACAAAACTGGCTGACAGTTCAACTAAGTCAAACTGACAGAACGACAGTTTAACTAACAAAACTGTCTGACAGTTCAACTAAGTCAAACTGACAGAACGACATTTTAACTAACAGAACTGACTGACAGTTCAACTAAGTCAAACTGACAGAACGGCAGTTTAACTAACAGAACTGACTGACAGTTTAACTAACAAAACTGACTGACAGTTCAACTAAGTCAAACTGACAGAACGACAGTTTAACTAACAAAACTGTCTGACAGTTCAACTAAGTCAAACTGACAGAACGACAGTTTAACTAACAAAACTGTCTGACAGTTCAACTAAGTCAAACTGACAGAACGACAGTTTAAGTAACAAAACTGACTGACAGTTCAACTAAGTCAAACTGACAGAACGACAGTTTAAGTAACAGAACTGACTTACAGTTCAACTAAGTCAAACTGACAGAACGACAGTGTAACTAACAAAACTGACTGACAGATCAACTAAGTCAAACTGACAGAACGACAGTTTAACTAACAAAACTGGCTGACAGTTCAACTAAGTCAAACTGACAGAACGACAGTTTAAGTAACAGAACTGACTGACAGTTCAACTAAGTCAAACTGACAGAACGACAGTTTAACCAACAAAACTGACTGACAGTTCAACTGTCAAACTGATAGAACGGCAGTTTAACTAACAGAACTGACTGACAGTTCAACTAAGTCAAACTGACAGAACGACAGTTTAAACTAACAAAACTGACTGACAGTTCAACTAAGTCAAACTGACAGAACGACAGTTTAAGTAACAGAACTGACTGACAGTTCAACTAAGTCAAACTGACAGAACGGCAGTTTAACTAACAGAACTGACTGACAGTTTAACTAACAAAACTGACTGACAGTTCAACTAAGTCAAACTGACAGAACGACAGTTTAACTAACAAAACTGTCTGACATTTCAACTAAGTCAAACTGACAGAACGACAGTTTAAATTAACAAAACTGACTGACAGTTCAACTAAGTCAAACTGACAGAACGACAGTTTAAGTAACAGAACTGACTTACAGTTCAACTAAGTCAAACTGACAGAACGACAGTGTAACTAACAAAACTGACTGACAGATCAACTAAGTCAAACTGACAGAACGACAGTTTAACTAACAAAACTGGCTGACAGTTCAACTAAGTCAAACTGACAGAACGACAGTTTAAGTAACAGAACTGACTGACAGTTCAACTAAGTCAAACTGACAGAACGACAGTTTAACCAACAAAACTGACTGACAATTCAACTGTCAAACTGATAGAACGGCAGTTTAACTAACAGAACTGACTGACAGTTCAACTAAGTCAAACTGACAGAACGACAGTTTAAACTAACAAAACTGACTGACAGTTCAACTAAGTCAAACTGACAGAACGACAGTTTAAGTAACAGAACTGACTGACAGTTCAACTAAGTCAAACTGACAGAACGGCAGTTTAACTAACAGAACTGACTGACAGTTTAACTAACAAAACTGACTGACAGTTCAACTAAGTCAAACTGACAGAACGACAATTTAACTAACAAAACTGTCTGACAGTTCAACTAAGTCAAACTGACAGAACGACAGTTTAACTAACAAAACTGTCTGACAGTTCAACTAAGTCAAACTGACAGAACGACAGTTTAAACTAACAAAACTGACTGACAGTTCAACTAAGTCAAACTGACAGAACGACAGTTTAACTAACAAAACTGTCTGACAGTTCAACTAAGTCAAACTGACAGAACGACATTTTAACTAACAGAACTGACTGACAGTTCAACTAAGTCAAACTGACAGAACGGCAGTTTAACTAACAGAACTGACTGACAGTTTAACTAACAAAACTGACTGACAGTTCAACTAAGTCAAACTGACAGAACGACAGTTTAACTAACAAAACTGTCTGACAGTTCAACTAAGTCAAACTGACAGAACGACAGTTTAACTAACAAAACTGTCTGACAGTTCAACTAAGTCAAACTGACAGAACGACAGTTTAAGTAACAAAACTGACTGACAGTTCAACTAAGTCAAACTGACAGAACGACAGTTTAAGTAACAGAACTGACTGACAGTTCAACTAAGTCAAACTGACAGAACGACAGTGTAACTAACAAAACTGACTGACAGATCAACTAAGTCAAACTGACAGAACGACAGTTTAAGTAACAGAACTGACTGACAGTTCAACTAAGTCAAACTGACAGAACGACAGTTTAAACTAACAAAACTGACTGACAGTTCAACTAAGTCAAACTGACAGAACGACAGTTTAAGTAACAGAACTGACTGACAGTTCAACTAAGTCAAACTGACAGAACGACAGTTTAACTAACAAAACTGACTGACAGATCAACTAAGTCAAACTGACAGAACGACAGTTTAACTAACAAAACTGGCTGACAGTTCAACTAAGTCAAACTGACAGAACGACAGTTTAAGTAACAGAACTGACTGACAGTTCAACTAAGTCAAACTGACAGAACGACAGTTTAACCAACAAAACTGACTGACAGTTCAACGGTCAAACTGATAGAACGGCAGTTTAACTAACAGAACTGACTGACAGTTCAACTAAGTCAAACTGACAGAACGACTTATGGCAAGCCATAGCATCTTTTAAGCTAAACCATCATTCTCATTAACAACAACTGAAGTAGTAAATGGGATTGTACACTAAAGCACAATCTGTGCAGGTACATATAGGTGGGATGTCAACTTCAGAGCCCGAAAGTCAATGGTAAAAGTCATAAAAATGCATACTTACAATCGTGTAATCCTTCATATTGATGAGTCGTAGAAACCAACAACCCAATAAAAATGGCTACGCTTACTTGCCGTCTATGGTGAACTACATGAATTTTAATACATCTGTTAGCTGATATGAGCAGTACCGATCGTATCAATCAACCTTATAATTGACATGTGTGCGTCAGTTCGGCAGTGGATGGTTTGTCAAACTGTTTTAACTGAAAACTTAAAATGTGATCAAAACTACAGTAAAGAAACCTTATAAACTGGTTAAAAGATACCCCCGTCGCAGTAAACCTGCAAACTACGCGAATTTCTATTTGACTAAATTGATTTGTGAATATATATGAATTTAAACGGATGGAGTTTTTGGCCTCTAGGGACCTCAAAACGAAAAATTAAATCGGTCCCTGTTCCAGGTCTTACCATGAGTACTACGGTAATAGCTTATTCCCTATATGGGAAATTCGCTAAAATCAATACCGCATTTGGGAGTGAGCATAGTGTTTTGTGTATTTATTTTAACTAGTGTACCTGTTGCTCGAATTCGAGCAATTGCTAAGTATTACAGGCGTTATTTTTAAAACGACACATAATCTATGATGACTTTAAAAGAAAGATTCGACTCAAAGATTATGGAAATACTGAAGATGTACATAACAGATCGATATAATCAACATTTCTTATTAATATGTTATCATTTTTCAAAAGCTGATCTCGTTTTTTAGTGTTTCATACAATTAGCCTTACTTTTAGCCGCATTAGGTTGTCCATAATAACGATTATAAATTCTCAAAAAAAAAAACATTATTTCTATTTCTTATCCTTGGTGGTGTTCTATGACTTCATTATAATGTTTCCATAGTTTGCAAATTGGCTCTTTCAATGATTACTAAGAAATGCAGCACAGCGTTAATTCTTTCTTTCGTTTTCTTTCTATTATATCAAATTATCCAGGCTCTCTCGTTAGTAAATATTTCATTTCAACCAAGTCAGTAAATGTTTGTAGCAAACTGTTAAATTAGCAAACTTATTAACTGTTTACAATTTACATAATGTTCTTCTTATCACTTTTAGTTTCAGACAACAGCTGGAGTTTCATTATAATGTTTGTTTCCCATGTTAATCTTATGGAGAAATAGGAACTTTAGAGGTCCCCAGGGCCTCACTCTCTAATTATTTTCCTTAAAAATAAAGTTTCCTGCACGACTTCACGTTACGCTCTTTCCAATGACACCAAAAACATGTCAATCGGTTCAGTAGTTTCGGAGGAGTAATTGTCACAAAAATCCTGCTTGCGTATAAATAAGTACTAGTTAACCGCCCGTGCTCCGCCACGGGAATATTGTCAGCAATAAAAGAAATAATAATTAACAAATACTGTTTGACTTTGTATTTTATTTAGGGGTTGTTTAATTTTTTCATGAAGTAGATACGATAAATAAATTAATAAATAGTATACGAACTGGGCAATGCTGATAACCTAATAAGCAGCTATTTATGCTATTTAGATAGTTTGCTCAAGTATATTCCTATATTCGTCGTTTTTTTTTCATAACATTTGTTGTATGGAATAAAGATAGTCACTTAGCCTACATGTAAATCACGCATCAGCAGTTGGTCGCATTTCACGAATCTTTGACCCATACTGTGAGTAAAAGCTGTGTTTACGTCGTATATATATAAAGTTGGGCATACTTTGTTCAATAGAGATATAAAGTCAATGGTTAGAGGGTATTAACGGTCCAATTTGATGGAAAAGGAGTCGTGGATTTTAAAACTATGTAGACTACCACTACCAGAAATATGTTGATTCAAGTGAGACTTAGAACTGGTCATTTCAAATGCAGATTTGTATTATATTTTACTCAAATAGTTTTTTGTCTCTTTTGACCCTTAATATTTTTTTTTGTATAGTCGCTGTTGATAAGATTTTCCATAAACTCAAAATGTTGATAAGGAGTTCATTTTACCTTCCCCTTGTGACAACATAAGGAAAATATATTTGTGTCCTAGTTAGTCTGTTCTGACTCAAAATTCATAGATTTGCAGTACTGACAAATCCAATCTAACGACCCCAATTCAAAAAAATTGGTATTTTTTAGAAGGGACTTTCAGAGCACATTCAACACCATCACTGCTCTTTACCTTTTGATGGTTCTCTACATGCTTTTTTCGTTCTGTATGTCTCTTTACGCCCAGTTTATGATTACCTTTTCTTTTTCTTTTTGTACTTTTCACATCCTGGCGTTAATGATAAAGTTTTATAACGCTATAATGACCCGAGTCAACATTGCCATTAAACATAAAGTCAGATACTTCTTCGCCAGAACCGAAATCGTAAGTCACAGTTTCTCAAGCAACTTCCCTGTGTAAGCCTACTCGAAAAATATGGTTAGGATATACGTAGTTCACTGATAAATTGTAATTCCAAATATCCCAGCGTACTCGCCATCTCGAGAAGGTAAAATTTCGACGTCGAACACTGATCTTGAGTAAGATTAATCACTTACGATAAAATGTTTGTATGTTTACCGGTACCAATCATTAGCAATTATCTGTACAACTTGCAAGCGGATTTCCCTATGATTGTTCTGGTGGCTATAGAGAATAAATTATATTGATCAAAACAATAAGTTTCCGTCCCCTACTATGGGTACCTATTATTTCACATTCCATGCTCAAACTTAAACTCGATTAACACTTTCCTTCAGATCACTTTGCAGGAAAACTAAAACATGTTTGTGTCCCAGTTAGTCTGTTCTGACTCGAAATTCATAGACTTGAAGTAGTGACAAATCCAATCTAACGACCCCAATTCAAAAGAGTTGGTATTTTTTTTTTTGTAAGGACTTCCAGAGCACATTTAACATCAACACTGCTCTTTACCTTTTTAGTTTGATGGTTCTCTACATTTTTTTTTCGTTCGGTATGTCTCTTTACGCCCGGTTAATGATTACCTTTTCGTTTTCTTTTTGTACTTTTCACACCCTGGGGTTAATGATAAAGTTGTATAACGCTATAATGACCAGAGTCAACATTGCCATTAAACATCAAGTCACATACTTCTTCGCCAGAACCGAATGGTAAGTCACAGTTTCTCAAGCAACTTCCCTGTGTGCTTGAAAAAAATTCACTGATATATTGTTGTTCCACGTATCCCAGCGTACTCGCCATCTCGAGAAGGTAAAGTTTGGTACTGGTGGTTTGGCACTGAATCTTGAGTAAGATTCGTCACCTACTATAAAATATTTTGTTTCCCAATCATTAGCAATTATATGTACAACTTGCAAGCGGATTTCCAAATGATTATTCTGGTGGCCGTAGAGAATAAATTATATTGATCAAAACAATAAGTTTCCGTTCCCTACTATGGGTATTATTTCACATTCCATACTCAAACTCAATTACCATTTTCCTTCAGATCACTTTGCAGGCAAACTAAAACTTTCAAAAATAAGTTAACAAATGCACTTTCCTTGATCAAAATCGCGTGTTTATAAACAGAAACTCTAAGTTTAATAAATTGCATACTGAAAGTGAGGTTATATAAATAATAACAAATGTCTGACAAACATTAAACAGCTGACGAATAATTTATAAACTGTGTATTATATTCTTCAATAAGAATTGTATTGATTGACCTTTAAAGGGCTGTAGGTCGTAGCCCTTAGAAAAAACGTAAATTCTAAGGAAATTCGGCAAATCTACACACTATCCCCTTTAATTTGAGACATAAATCTTGTAGATCGGTCCAGTAATTACTGGGAAAACAGTGTTACAACTGTGTATTAAATATATAGATATATAGATAGACTAGTGGTCGTTCAGTGGTCGAAAACTCGACCAGAAACATGTAATATCCTCGTATTGACTAATGGATACTGAAGTAGACAACCCATCTATTATGGACCAGATGTTGCCATTTCTTTAATAAAAAAACATGTAGTTGTATGAGCCAGTTACCGAATGTGTGTCTTAAATTCTATTTTCTACCTTATTTTTTGTTGCTGACAAAGTTGATGGGTCATACCAGTTGTTATAGCTCATAATAAGTCATTCCATAAGTTTGACTTTGAAAAAAACAGCGTGAACTGGGCAGAAATTAGTCATTTAGATCAGCGCAATCTGTTGGTGGCTTACATCAACTACGAAGAATTTGAAGAAAAAAACTGATTACAACTTTAACATGGGGATGGAATGTAAAGGTATAGACTCCTCTATTTTCACCCCACGCTGGGAATAAAACATGTGATTGTAATTTCTTTCATTTGTTTTTATTTTCTGTTTATATTTCGTTGTTATTTCAAATCAAATCAAATCAAATCAAACATAATTTATTCCATGAATCAAAATATACAACAGTAATTCTAACAAAAATTGATCCTCCCCACATAGGCAGAGCCTGTGCGTGGGGAAACGAGTTAATCAGTCATCATATTCTACAATCTATAATCTAATATAATCTATAATCTAATTTACAAAAAGGGAAAAACAATTTTACTAGAAGCCACAGCAGATAACTTAAATATATAGAAATAACTAAAAGGTGTAAAAATACCCCCGCCGCAGCAAACCTGCAGACTAAGCGAATTTCCATTAACCTGATTAGATTTACATTAAAATGCCTCCATAAAAATAGCACATTTATTTCCTATTTAAATAGAATAAGTTTAACGAGTACTTAGGTTTGCTGCAACAGGGAGGGTAAAAAAGTTTTTTTTTTTATAAATTGATAATAGTTTAGTAAGAAATAAAAGTATTTTCCAAAATCGATCAAAATATGTTCATAAACAAGCAAACTACAACAGTTGACTTATTCTCCATAAGAATAACATGGGAATTTCAAAATTACATTTTTTTTGAATTTTCTCCGTAACAAATAGGCGCATAATAACGCTTCAATATACTAAATTATTTGTTTTTTTAAGCTCTACAAAATGGTTTAAAAAGAAATTGTGAAATTTCATGTTTTTAGGGTAAAAAATGGGAAAAACCTATTTTTACCCCATAAAACCCCCCATAAACCCCCGTTCCCATAGTCCGATCATGCTGGTTCGCGAACTCATTCAAGTTTATCCCGCCTTACACCTTCAAACCAAATTTTATCAAAATCGGACA